TGTTTAATGTTAACCTAATCAAACATTGTGTCTATCATCCACAGAGTGGGGAGCTGCTGAAAGAGAAATTAAATCTGTGAAGAAATGGGTCTGAATTGGGTCTAGGCACTCCAAATTGTTTTGATGCACATGCGCTGCCGTAAAAAAAATCTAACTTCAGGCTTTTTTGAAATTCTCTTTGCAGAACTGCCAGAGACTCATACAACATCTTCATTTTCATATGATGATAAAATGCTTAATTACTTAATTTTACTTACAGCCCAGATAAAGGAAGTGGAGACCAGACACAGAGAGGACTACCTTCACCAGCTACTAAACCTTTGCATGACTTACAGCCAGGAGATTTTGTCTTTATAAGAAATTGCAGGAGGAAGATTGGAGATCCTGTAGGTGGATGGGTCCATTCCAGGTGTTGCTGACCACCTGCACAGCAATAAAGGCCGCCGAGACAACCACCTGGGTCCATTCTTGCCACTCCAAGAAGTTCAAAGGGCAGAGTACCAGACCAGTCTAAAGAAGCAGACGAATATAGCTCAACCGAAGGAGCTACATCAAACACTTTTATCAGGACCCTTCATCAAACACTTTGGGTTTTCCTAAGATGTCGCCTATATCAACCTACCCAGTAGGAGCAATCGTAGCTGAGGCAGCATTAAGAAACATGCCTGCAAGAAGCCTTTACATACCACTGTGTCTAAAAGCTGCTACAATGTGCTAGATTTTCCATCTGGGATGCGTGCTGCTCACAATGCTCTTCTGGTATGTGCATACATCCTGAACTAAAGGACAACCTCCTGTGATTAATAATACCCAACATCGAAGACAGTGAACTGTAATACGACCTTCCAACTCTTCTTGTGAAGCTGGCTGCTTTGTAGTAACAACAGCAATCCAGGTGCCTCTGTGCCCACATTCTGCTTGGAACATGGAGGAACACTGAGAAATTATATGATGGATAAGGAAGTTGCACAGTTACAAATGCCCACTGAGTATCACAGTGCTGCTGTCAAAGTAATTTGCAATTACTTCCAGTTCCACTGCACCGTGGCTTTTCATTTGCTGTAGATGAAGTGTTGAACGTGGTTTCTACAACACATCTCAAGACTGACGACTTGTTTGGTAGAAGCATCAACACAGACAATGAGCTAGAACTAAAAGATCAGTCTGGATCTGGGATGTAACATTAAAAGCTCCAAAAGAAGAAGAAAATTGACAAGAGGAAAATAGCTTTTTATTTTGTCACAATTGTCTGGAAAAGCCCTTGAATGGACGGAAGCCAGATTTTCTTTAGAATCTAGTTTTGGTTGTATTTTTGGGGAATTTATCCAGGAGTTTAAAAAAGTCTTCAATCAAGACACTGATAAGTCCACTGAATCTCGCGGACTGTTGGAATTCAAACAGGGAAATAGAACTGTTGCTGAATTCTCTGTCGACTTCCGGGTTAAAGCGGCTGCTTCCGTTTGGAACGAATCTGCGCTCAAATGCGCTTATTTTCATGCTCTTGACGATTCTATTAAGGACGAGCTGGCCACTCTCGATGAGCCAGCAACCTTGGAGGAACTCATAAAGTTAACAATACGCTTGGATAACAGACTGCGAGCCAGACCCAAGTCTAGATTTAGAGGCCATGTTTTTTCTGTTTCTGCTCCGGCGGCTAAGACAAATGACACCTCAATTTCCTCAGAAGTTGAGTCCAGATCTAAGAGCCGTTATCTACCTATATCTGTTCCTGTTACTAAGACTCATTACGTCTCTCCTTCCACAGAACCCTCAGAAGTTGAGCCAATGCAGATCGGTCACACCAGGCTCACATCCGAAGAGAGGCAAAGGAGGTTTAAGGAAAACCTTTGTATGTTCTGTGGGGAAACCTGGTCACTTTGTTTAAACCTGCCCAGCTAAGGTAAAAGCTGGGGTCCGCCAGAGGAAATGAGGAGTCTGGCGGACCATCTTCAAACTGAGAAATCTCCTCGCCTGCTGTTACCTGCAACTCTGTTTCTCAAAGATTAATCTCTCACGTTATCAGCATTGATAGACTCTGGCTGTGAGAAGAATCTGATAGACTCCAGTTTGGTGAAACAATTGAACATAGAAACCACCCCATTAACTAAGTCTCTGAGAGTCTCGGCCCTCGATGGTAAACTGCTACCTCAGGTCACGCACCAAACCAAGCCGCTTGAACTTTTGACCTCTGGTAACCACAGAGAGACCATATAATTTTTTGTATTTCCATCAGCCAGCTCATCCATAGTCCTTGGATTTGAGTGGCTTCAACATCATAACCCACACATAAGGTCCAAAAGACATGTTGAGTCCTGGTCTGCATCCTGCCATGTTTCCTGTCTCCGCTCCGCCGCACCTTCAACTCAGTCTCCGGCCAGTCGTCAGGAGGCTGACCCGCCTGATCTTTCCTTAGTACCTCCTGACTACCACGACCTGGCACCTGTTTTCAGTAAGGTTAGTGCTCTATCTCTTCCCCCGCATAGACCTTATGACTGTGCAATTGATCTTCTACCTGGAGCCCCCCTCCCTAACAGTCGGCTCTATATCTCCAAGCCCGAGAGGGAGACCATGGAAAATTATATTAATGAGTCCTTAGCCGCCGGTATAATTCGACCTTTCTCATCTCCTCTCAGGGCTGGTTTCTTCTTTGTGGATAAGAAGGATGGATCTCTGCGACCCTGTATCGATTACAGAGGTCTAAATCAAATTACAGTCAAGAACAAGTACCCATTACCCTTGTTAGCATCAGCCTTTGAACCCGTCCAAGGAACTACGGTTTTCACTAAGTTGGACTTGAGAAATGCCTATCATCTCCTTAGAATCAGAGAGGGAGATGAATGGAAAACCGCATTCAAAACTCCTCTAGGTCAATTTGAGTATCTTGTAATGCCTTTTGGTCTGACCAACGCTCCTGCTTGTTTTCAGGCCCTGATAAACGATGTTCTGAGAGATTTTTTGAACATATTCGTTTTTGTCTGTATTGATGACATTCTGATCTATTCCAAAGACATATCTGAACATATGAAGCACGTCCGTTTGGTTCTCCAAAGACTCCTTGAAAACAAGCTGTTTGTCAAAGCTGAGAAATTTGAGTTTCATCGTCCATCTGTCACCTTTCTAGGTTTTGTGCTCGAGGGCGGGCAGATAAAGCCGTCTGAGGACAAGATCAAGGCGGTTCTGGACTGGCCCACTCCCGAGAACCGAAGACAACTGCAAAGATTTCTGGGGTTTGCAAATTTTTATAGAAGGTTCATTCGCAACTACAGCCAGACAGCTCAGCCTCTGACTGCTCTAACATCTGTAAAAAGGACCTTTCCCTGGTCTGCGGAAGCTGAGGCTGCTTTTAATAAACTCAAGGCTCTGTTTTCAAATGCACCCATTCTCATCCAGCCTGACCCTTCCAAGCAGTTCATTTTGGAGGTGGATGCTTCTGATTCTGGGGTGGGGGCAGTCTTGTCCCAAGTCTCTGATTCCTACCAAAGAGCTCATCCATGCGGAAGAAATTGAAAAGAGTTGAAAGGACAGGCCAAGAATGGAGTCTTAAAGGATTATTGGGAAATAAAGGAAATATAAAAGATATTTATAGATTAAGGAAAGCATTATTTATTTATCTTCAGAATACAAAATAAAAAAATAGAATTTAATAGATGTAAAACAATGTTGCTACACACTCATGAACAGTAGGTGGCGGTATGCCCGCCACTTCCCTAGAGCCCGGTGGGATCGAAAACATTTTGAATGGAAATAAGTGGGGAGAAATTAATAAACTTTTGGTCCCAGTCGCTCTCTGTCACTGATTCCAGATATGCTGGTTGTGTATTCAAATTGTTTTTTGTTTTTTTTAGTTCCTCTTTGGTCAAAATCTGGTCAAAACCCATCAATGAGATCGCACCAAACAGGAAGTTAATTGCACAAAGGATCCGGTAGGGTGATTCTCACGAACATGGTCCAACTTGTAGCAAAATTTTAAAAACATTATATACACAAAAAAACACTCACTCTTTATAAAACAGATCCTAATTTCACTTTTCATTGTAAAATTATAATCTATATGCACATTTTCTAGGTAATTTTAAACATTTTATTCTAACTTTGACCAAATAAATTCATTACCGTAACACAATTTTCATGAAGAAATTTAAAACCACAAAACCATTTTTTTCACATTTTTTGGACACCAAGGACTTCAGCGTGCACAGAGAGACAGAAATAAGCAAAAATAGGCATTTTTTTTTACAAAATGTTATATTTTAATTCAAAAAATCATTTCATCACCGTAACAGTGATACAAATTTCAAAGTAAATTTTGATTGTCATTTTTTATCAAATCATTACATTGAACAAACAATATAACCATAACATAAAAAGGGTCTGGCACATTTCATCAAGGGATGAATATAAAAGTAATTCACATAACTAATCTAAATGAATCCTCAAACAGTTAACATAGCGGTAATGAAAAAACACATGTCGGTAATGAAAAACAATGTTTCGGTAGTGAACCCTTCATAACTACATTAATATTTAACTACCCAAACAATAAAATACCCTAGTAAAACATATATTTTTAAAATGTTAAGTTTATTAAGTTGACACACAAACTGAACAGAAAAATAGTCCCATATTTTTCCCAGCCATTTCAGGCAATGAAACAGTTTACCCTGTTTTCAGCAGAGGAAAAGCAGCTGATGTCTTCATCAAATGGCCCAGTAATCTGAGCAACGAAATTGTGTGGGGAAAGGTAAGACTCAATTGATATCAAATCAAATTCAGAAAATGACCCTGAACTACTGATAAAGGGAGACATAAAAAGATGTGGTGATGGATTTTTTTTGTTCCTAGATGATTTGTGACCTTTTTTGTGACTCTTTTTTTCCTTCTAGGTCTGGCCTGATTTACCAGGCGTCATAGTTAATGAAAGTCTTGACTGCCACTTAGACACTTAGATTTAATATACATAGGCTACATAAAAAAACAAAATATTCATTAATTTTAATAATTCATTGGACTTTCTTTTTGTACTTGGCCCAGATTTCTGACACCACACTGAAGTGTCTTGCGGATGAAGAGGTAGGCAGTGGTTCAGGAATAATTTCTTTGATGTCATCCAAATAATACCATACCTTCTCGCCAGCAAACCTTATTGATGGTATGTAGAAGCGATTGTCTCCCGCACAGCTCATTGTATCAACCTCATACTGACCACTGGCAATCTGGATTAATGAAGCAAAAAAAATGTTATCAACTGTGTTTTTCAAAGACAATTTGATTATTACATAATCATTACCCTGATATTACATGTTGACAATCTGAATCCAATACTTGCACACCTGACTTCCCATTCTCCACTCAGTCTTAAACCTACCTGTGTTACTGTGCCAGGATAGAGGTCTCCGTCATAGTCCACAAGGACCCATGTTCCTACTTTGATGGTCTCTTCAGATTCCCTTTGCGTGAAAACAAACTCCTTTGGAGAGAAGCAGTCACAAGAGTGACTACAGAAGCACGAAACTTCTCGAAATCTAATATTTCCTGGTTCAGTAGCAACAACCTGTGGAGACATTATGTTTAGTTTTATCTGCAAAACCATGAAAAGGTCAGATCTATAAAAAGAAATATTTTCTTTGAAATGCAAACTTACAACAAAAAATAGAGAAAAAATTGAAACCAAACTAAAAAAAAAAAAAAAAAGCCAAGCAAAATAAAAATGAGTGTGCATTTGTTTAGTTGCACATATGGGTGCTCACCTGGTGTATTTTCATAGTTCCTGGGACTGATTTCAGGAATGGAGTAACGAGTTCCCCACATGCAGCAATATTATCCTCTGTTACTTCAAAAAGCCTAACAGATGAGTGCTTTGCCAGATTCTCTAGTAGAGCAGAAGCATTTGGGATGTCTGTGCCATAGGCCACCACACGATCTGCAAGGTTTTTAAGAGCACCTCCTACTCCATCAGGAGCTCCCTTCCCATGAGAGGCCTCAGTGAAGTTCCACGTCACAGTCTTAAACCCTTTCATAAAAGGCACTGTGGACGCAAGGTAGAATGCTACCTTATTCCGATATTGAGATGTTGGTCCATCGGAAAGGAAGTGGATATTTTTTGCCAGGGGGTAGTTAGATGTTATGTATCCTAAAACTGGTTGCAAATGTGCCCATGTAGCAACAGCATCGTGCTGTAAACTGGCAGACACAGTAGCAAAGGACTCAGCCTGACCACCAGTGTAGTATAACACCCCTGTATGGAGTGTGACTTGCTGGTGGGATCCACCAAAGTGAGCGTCTTTTATTTCCTTGCTCCATTTGCAGGTGTAGTTTTCACTGTAATCAACATGGACTACAACATCATGGTGGGTCAAATTTTCTTTCAATTGCTTAAGATGAGTGAACTGGTGCCAAATGTTATACAAATGAGTAGATATCCGGGGCAGTTCTGACTTGGTCAGCTCTACAAGTTTTTCAATAGTGGCCACTTTTTTCTCCAGGGTGGTGGTTTTCATGTCAATCTCCGTGGTAGTGCCATTTTGCAGTTTCTTTTTTATTGGTGTTGACCTTGTTGTCCACTCAGTCCAAGATATAATGTTGTTTTTTGTAGTTGGATCCATGTTGACAGGGAAAGTAATATCTTTGCAGGCTTCACATCTACCATACATGCAATCAATGTTTTCCGAATCACAGACAGATGAAGCCACTACATCAGTAATAGATACTGTATGTATCAATCCGAGATGGTGCATTTTTTTAATTTTATTTGAAAAATTCTCATGTATTTTGCAGGCACATGTTTCCCTATCAGTGATCTTTGGTCTCACTATCCAGAAGGGCCTCAGCTTAAAAAACTGGGAGCGGGACACATTGAGGCCTGGGTTCTCTTTAAGAAATCTCTTGTGGAGATTTTCCATGGTGTCTGAGAGGAACCTCTTCCTATAAATTTGTCCACCCTTCCTGACTTCCCCAAGTTTACCATTTATTAATGTGGACACATCGTCTCTGTTCAGGAACAGTCTGACATTGTCACTCATCCTTCTTCTTTGGTTTCTCTCACCCTGCTTCTTGCGGTTCTCTCTCCTCTGTTTGGCTCGACTTGCAAGAAGAACTGTGGACCTGTTTTCCTCCATTCGTTTAATTTTTTTTTTCAGGCAATCTAGTTCCTTTTTCTTGTTACTAAGAATTTGTTGTGCCTTCCTCAGTTTTTCTCTTAATTTGGCTGTTTTTTTTTTCCGCTTTGGAGTTGATGTTGCAGATGGATTAGAGTTCACGGTCTTTGGTTGGATTAATCTTTTACAAAGTTTTGGTTGAGGCTGAGGGTTGATTTGATTCACACTGTCATCTGAGGGAGGGGTTTCATTTAGTATGTGTTTAACTGTTTGCTTCTTTTTATTATATCGATTAGAATTTTCCCTCCATTTTTTTCGCTGTTTCTGCAGCTGCCTGGGTGTCAGATCTGCAGCTGCCTTTAACAACCCTTTTTCCTTGCGCTTCTGAAATAAGATATCAATAGGAACATTTGTGAGACAGCAAAGTTAGCAAAGTCTGTACTGTATTTGTACAGTGTGAGCGTGAAAAACAGAATAGAAGGAGAGACGAGAAAGAGGGAAAAAGAGCGGGAAAGGGGAAGAGAGGGAGAAAGAGAGACACTACCTTTCCCTTTCCTTTCTTCTATACTCCTCTAGAAGGTCTGGATTGTTATAAATCTTCTGCCTATGTTTTTCCACCCTAGCTCTTGATGCCGCCCTCTTCTGTTCACTTCCTTTTGCCCTTCATATTAGGTGATATCAATTAGCATAAATTAGCTTAGAAATTTAGCCTAAAAAATTGAAAGTATAATAAACAACATTACAGTTTAAATAACCTATACATTTATCTATTTATTATTGCAAAATGACACTGTTCATCACCGTAATCTTGTTTCTCATTACCGCAACAGGCCTCAGATTACGCGGTAATGAAAGTTATGCATTACGGTAATGAATGACATCCACATGTGCTAGCTTAAAATTCTAGCATGTCGTGATGACTCAGTTAAACTTTTCTCACAAACAGTGTGAACTCTCTAACTTCTTCTGTACAAGAAATCATCTTATTAACAACTTTTTAAGAACATGAGGTATTCTACATTACGGTAATGATAACCTGTAGTGTAAAAATAGGCATATGGAAGGAGAAACTTAACAGTTGTCATGATCTAAAGATGTCAAACAATCTTACCTTGTAGCCATCTTTGTCTTCTCTTCTTTGTGGTGCATCATGGGTCAGAAAAACTTTATTTAAAAAAGTGCTGTGAATATTACAGGACTTTGAACACGGTGCAACGGTAATGAGAGTTGAACCTCCGGACACTCACTTTTATTACAATATTCTGAATTACTTAACAGGAAATTATTATATATTATCATATTTTATTAATTTATGTATATTTAAACAAATTCATAATATTTTTTTATAAACCTGCTTGATTATTCATAATAATAAATTGAGGCGAAATAATTTTTTTCCCCTTAGGACACATTACGGTAATGAATTTGTGACTTCAAAAATAGTTAAAAAACATTAAAAAATTTATTTTGGTTGCCAACAATGATCTGTCCCAAATATTAGAAATAATGATTGTCCAAATAAAAGTGGATTATTTTAATTTTTTTATGAGTATGACCCTAAAATTTTCTAAGACATTCAATAGGTTGGGTTCGTGAGAATCACCCGGTAGATTTCCAAATAAAACACATCCGATCTTAACCCATGATCCTTTTTTTAACTAGTTTAATTAGTTTCTCCCGTATGCCACGACGTAATGCATTGATCTGAAAATCAACCTCAGACGCAACGCACGCAGTGGCGAGGGTTTGATCCGTCAGATGGAGTTAAATCACAAAGAATTCAATGTTGAATCGGGGCGGCAGCTAAATGCTAGGCGATGGGTAGCAGCCTAAACGTTGCAATTTCACATAATCCTGACGAGATCCGAAAAACCGCAGCAAAAACTAGCAAGCGGGTGATTATGTATGCTCTCTGTCATTGATTCCAGATATGCTGGTTGTGTATTTAAATTGTTTTATTTTATTTTTTTTTAGTTCCTCTTTGGTCAAAATCTGGTCAAAACCCATCAATGAGATCGCACCAAACAGGAAGTGAAATGCACAAAGGATCCGGTAGATTTCCAAATAAAACCCATCCGATCTTAACCCATGATCCTTTTTTTAACTAGTTTAATTATTTTCTCCCGTATGCCACGACGTAATGCATTGATCTGAAAATCAACCTCAGACGCAACGCACGCAGTGGCGAGGGTTTGATCCGTCAGATGGAGTTAAATCACAAAGAATTCAATGTTGAATCGGGGCGGCAGCTAAATGCTAGGCGATAGGTAGCAGCCAAAACGTTGCAATTTCACATAATCCTGACGAGATCCGAAAAACGTAGCAAAAACTAGCAAGCGGGTGATTATGTATGTTCACTAAGTAAATATTATGTAAATAAACCCTACACTTCTCGCTATAAATGTAATCAAAACCCATTTAAATGCAGAAACTGATTGAAATTATTGGTTTTCCCACTAAAAGTTAGAGAAATCTCAGCCATGTTTATACCAAAATGTTACAGTTTCACATTATCTTGAAAAATCTTTGCAAGAAACGAACAAGCAAGTGAATATGTACATTCCCTGAGTAAATATTCTGGCAACAAACTATACATTTCTCACTAGAAATGTAATCAAAACTCATTTTAATGCAAAAACAAACTCAAATTATTAATCTTTCCACAAAAAAATTAACGAATGTCGGCCATATATATTTTTTTTTTCTTCTCCCAGCTGGAATCTTGAAAGTCACGTGACTAGGACGTAAAACAATAGAAAGCGTATAGGCAGGAGAAACGTAACAGTACCACAAAAAAATGGCCATTAATGTACCTCCACTACGTTTTGCAGTGTGGACCAACGTAGTGGGGGTACATTTTCCCATGAGACTGGGTTGCCCCTGTAGGGGTGGTAAAATATCTTATTTAATCAGATATTATTTCAGCTGTTATATACTGTTTATGACACACAATCCTACTAACTGTGTGTTAAAACAATAGATGAAAGAGTGATTTGAGCACTAATCATGGTCAAACTGTTATTTCTGCACATACATGGAATAAATTCACCACAACTTCTGTTCAAAATATAAGAGTTTATTAACAAAAATCATTCAGCTCCAAGTCAAATGTATTTCAGTTTAACACTCTCAACTAAGACTAGTAAAACTCAACTAAACTAAACTAACTACTATGTACAAAGAGGAAGGGGAAAACGGTTGAAAACCATATTGCAGTTTAAGATGGACTCTGTGTTTGAAACCAAAGTTTATCTGGAATAATTGGGGATATGATCAAATTAGCTTTTCACTAATTTTAAAGAAATTGGAATGTTTTCAGACCAATTCACAATGCAAATCCATGAGGTAAATAAAACATTATTTGGCCAAATAATGTTTTATTAAATGATTTGCTTAATCAAGAACCAAAAACCTTTAGTTAAATGATTCTTTACCCTCTTTGAAATAGCTAGCAGCGAACAGACATCAGGATTCCACTAAATGACTCTTGGTCAGACTTGGTAATGGAAATGTAATGAGTATCTGAGGAACACATGAACACTAATGTTATATCAGTGTTTAAATCCTTAGTGAATAAAGCTTGTCTAAGCTTTAGCAACAGCTCAACACATATTCCTGTAGCATAGCGTAGCATGCAGTCTATTCTTTAGCATCAATTAGCGTTGTCTTTACTCAGCAGTAAACACACAATATGATTAGCATCATCAAAAGACACATTGCTTGTTCTGTCCCTAATCATGCCAGACCTGCAAACCTTTTTCCATGTCCGTTTGGAAAGCTTGAGTTTCATCAGTTTTGCAGCTCTGCAGTCAGGGATTCTTTGTCTCAGTCTCACAGCAGGGGTCCTCTCAGTCTCACCCCCAGGGCATGGTTCGCATCCAGTTTGGCTCTAAAAGTTCTGAAACTCAAGAGAAATGTGTTGCAAAGGTTCTGTTTGCAGCAGTTCGGTTCTGAAATGTGTTGCAAAGGTTCTGTTTGCAGC